GGTCGACGGTCCCTGAGTCGTTTTTTGACGGTCCTGGGGCCCAGCGAGGGCCCCTAGAGGCCGAAAATTGCGAAAAAACTCCGTCTTGATTTTTTCAATACCTTTGATCCCTGGGAGCTCCACCCCAAGGGACGAAAGGGCTCTTTGTGGCCACGGTCCGTCGCCGCAGGGTCTTGGGACCCTGGGAGGAGGAGGAGGAGGAGGAGGAGGAGGAGGAGGAGGAGGAGGAGGAGGAGGAGTGGCAGAAGGAGGAGGAGGGGGAGGGGCAGGAGGAGGAGGAAAAGGCGGAGGAGGAGGATGAGGAGGAGGAGGAGGAGGTGGAGGCCAGAGAGCCCCGGGCTGCAGACGCGTCCTCCACGCCGGCGATCTCGTCCAGCAGCAGCTGAGCACGGCGGGCGCGCGCGCGCGAGGAGACGGGGGCCGAGGAGGGCGCGAGCGGGGGCCAGCTCGGGCACCGCCACCTCCTGGACACCAACGGCGGGACCCCTCCTGGACACCATCCTGGCCAGTGCTTCGCGAGGGCCCCTGGAACTCCCAGGGGTCCTTGGGACTCCCAGGGGCTCCCAGGCAGGGAGGCCCCAGAAAACCGGAGCTCCACGATCTCGTCTCTTCCTCCTTCTCCTTCTCCGCCTGCTCCTCTTCGTCGTCGTCCTCCTCCTCCTCCTCCTCCTCCTCCTCCTTCGCCTCCTTCTCCTACTCCCCCTCCTCCTCTCGCTCCCACGTCCTACGTCCTCCGTAATCCTCCTGCCCTGCAGTCAAGGCTGCCATTGAGAGGCGGTTGTCGCACAAGCAGTGGAGAGTAGCCTGCTAGTGAGAACTGTGGCCAGACCGCGGCGGTGGCGAGAGCGGCGGCGGCGCTGCCAGCGCGCCGCTTGGTGCGTATCAGCGTGGGGGGGTACCCCCCGGCGGGGGTCAACCTCGCCTCGTCGTCGCGCTGCGACGGGGGTCGGAGCGCCTTCGGCGCGCGGTGGCTGCCAGCGACGGAGGTCGATGTGGGGCTGTCGGCGGGGGTGACGCCCCCCCGACGCTTATTAAGAAACTCGGGGTACTCTTTTTGTTGTTGCGACGCTGCGATGCAAGGAGGAGGGGGGGAGGAGTGAGAGGTGGAGGGGGGGGAGGAGCTTGGGAGGAACGGAGGCAGGAGGCGGAAGAGGAAGGGGACAAGCTCGGTGAAAAAAGGGGGGGAGAAGGCGAGGAGGAGGAGGAGGAGGAGGAGGAGGAGGAGGAGGAGGAGGAGGAGGAGGAGGAGGAGGAGGAGGAGGAGGAGGAGGAGGAGGAGGGAGGAGGAGGAGGACGACGAGGGGTGGGGAAAGGCAGAGGGGGTACAGGGGAGGGGCGGCAGCAGGAGGGCGAGGGCGAGGGAAACGGCAAGGCCAGCTTCAGGGGCGTCGTTCGGGGAGACGTAAGACTCGGGTACGGGAGACTCGGGTTGGCCCGATGGGGCCATCATAAAAATGACGAGGCCCAATCTGAAATTTGACGCGAGCTCCCGCTGCAGACATCCCACGAAAACTGGACCGTCAAAATCCATGACGCGCTCGTCAAAAAAACGTCGGCAACCCGAGTTCTGGCTTACTCGGGTCTTGCGTTTCCCCGAGTCGAGAGAGAAGAGAAGGTGCAGGAGGCTCACTCGAGCAAGCCACACGTCCAGCAAGACGGACGCATTGGCACGATATGCCGACGAGGGGCAGAATGAGAAGAGAAGTTGAGGGAGAAGGAGAGGGAAATGGCGACGGGGGAGGGGAAGACAAAAAACCTCCTCCTCCTCCTCCTCCTCCTCCTCCTCCTCCTCCTCCTCCTCCTCCTCCTCAGTCACTCCGCAGCGGCACAGCATCACCCTTGAGGAGGCCCCTCAAAGGCCGTACGTAGGTGTCCCCTGAAGGCCCATTGAAGCCTCTGGAAGCGCCCCAAGAAGCCTTCATACCCCTCGGACGATCAAGACCCTGGCAACACTCAACGCGCGGCTCCAACGCGTGTTGCTAGTGCTCTCAACGCCGAGTACCTCCGCGCCTCCAGCGAGGGCTGGGTTCTCTGCGGCGACCAGAGGGGGCCTTGGTGTCGAAGGGAGCTCACAGCCCTCGGCCCCCGCAGCCTTGTTGCCACCTGCCCTGGCCGAGGAGGTCGGGGACGCCTTCGCTGCGCTTGGGCACGGCGTGTTCAGAGGCAGCAATGTTTACTGTTGCAGGCGCCGCGGGTCTCACTGCGCAGCGGGAGATGTCCGCACAGCGCGGCAGCTTGGCTCGGGGTGCGATGGGCTCTCGCCCAACGAGTCCACACGCCGCAACCAGCAGGGCGCGATCAGGCGCGTCGAGAATGGCCCGGCGCCTCGTGCCCGACGTACCCCAGCAGCGCCGCCCCCGCAGGGGGGCTCCTCTTGCAGCCACGCGGCGCGTTGATCGACCATGTCGTGATGCGCTCCCGTTCCGTGGTCGGCTGGTGGCACGACGTCTTCTTCGGTGGCGACGCCTCCTTCGTCGGCGGCAAGTTGGCCTGCGTCCACGGCCTTGAGGGCGACTTCTTCCAGTTGCTCTCCTTCTACGTTGCCCCCCTGCTCTTGCGGCACCGTGACGCGAGTAGGCGGCGCCAGTGGGTAGTCCGTCGCGCGCCCGCGTGCGCAGCGGAAGACCTTCCTAAGGCGACGCGCTCCCCCCCCTCTTCCGCCCCCTCCGCCTCGGGGCATTGTCATCGCGACGTACTGCGAGCATGCGCACGACGAGAACTGGCCGAGCTACCACAACATCTACAACAGTTTTCACAATCTCGCATCTCACATGAAAAGCACGCCAGGTCAGTTCGCGAAGGCGAACATCACCAATTATCCAAAGCGCCCCGCGGGCTTGCCCGCACCATAGCTCGAGGCTGGCCATGATGATGGCGACCCACCTGTTGAGAAGTTCATTGGTGTATATATATATATATATATCGCTGGGGGCGGATGCCCCCTCGCGCAGCAACAACGCAGTGCCGCAGAAAAAGCGGGGCGGCAACTGGAAGTCGTCTGCGCGGGAGCCGCTGCAGAACGAGCGGCGCGGCGGCTGGCACTCGCGGGGTCAACATTCCAGAAGACGGCCCGCTCATATCCATGGATTGCCGGCTGCAGGCCATGCAAGCTCGAGCTCTTCTCAGCGGCGCGCGCCGAATGCGCCGTTCTAGCCAGGCAAGACTACAATTGGCGCGGCTACAGCCCCCATCGCAGACACAGATGCCGCCGCTGAGCCCACGGCCACCCCATCTCCACTCGACGATGCAGCAGTGCCAGCTGCTGTTGGCGACGCAGCGTCGGCTGCGGATCGCGTCGCGCAGGAACCCTACGAGAAGCAAGCGCTCGACGCCCTACGGGGGAAGGGCGGCCGCGCAGCCGAGAAGGGGCCAGCTGCTGCAACGGACGTTGCAAAGAGACCATCGGCCGCCGTTCCCGCCCTGAAGAGGCCCGCCTCACCGCGGGCGTCCAGAGGCGTTGCCTCCAAGGTTACGTTCGAGCCTGCTGACCGTCAGTCCACGCAGGATGCGCTTGCTTCCGAGCGGCACGGCAGGGCGCCCACGTGGGCCAAGCATAACAACCGCAACGAGAAGCAACCTGGCAGGGGACGCACACAATTCGGCAGGCGAGACGCGGAAAAGCAAGAATAACGCCTGAGACATGGCGTTGAACATCAGCCCTGTTTGGGTACATGAGCTGGCGGGCTCCTAATGCACTATACGCGTATCAAGTAGATTGACTGCCGCTGCTCGCATCTTGCACCTTCGAAATTTGCGAAGCGATCACCGCTGGAGTATATATATATATATATACATATGATGACGAAGAAAAAGCCAAATCAGGGCGATAGGGCTAAGGGGCTGTAGGGCCATAAGGCTATTGAGCTATAGGGCTATAGAGCAAGAGGGCTATAGAACTGTGGGGCTATAGGGCTATTGGGCTATAGGGCTATAAGGCATCCCCGGGCACCCCCGGGCACCCCTGGGCACCCCCGGGCGCGCCCGGGCACGCCCGGGCACCCGGGCACCCGGGCGCGCGGCGACAATCGGCGGCAAACCCAACCGAACCGTATGAATCCGCTAGGACCCCATACAGAGGCAAGCTCACGGAGGCCCCCGGCAAGCCTTTGGAGACTTATCGGAGGCCCCGGGGCACCCCTTCGAAAGCTCTGAAAGCCCGCTTGGCTTCTGGAGGCTTCTGGAGACACCACATCGAGATCCGACCAGAAACATCCATGGTGCCACGAGAAGCCGTGGAGGCTCCCCCCCACGCGGGCTTCGGACGCACCAGGAAGCTCCTGCAGGCTCCACGCATGCCCGTAGAGGCCCGCATGGTTGGGGAGCGCAGTGAAGCAGGATAGGTCTGGATGTCGCCGTCGCCGCCGCCGCCGCCGCCGCCGCCGCCGTCGTCGTCGTCGTCGTCGTCGTCGTCGTCGTCGTCGTCGTCGTCGTCGTCGTCGTCGTCGTCGCAGGGCACCTGCCGCAGGGCGCCTTCGCAATGGGTCTGGATGCACTCCCAGAGGCCAAGCGGAAGCCGCTCCGGGGCCCTTCGAGCCCCTATACCGTATGGGGGCTCCAGCCCCTGTGGCTGCGACGGCAGGTCTGAGCAAAAGAGCGACGAGGTCAGAGATGACACGGACGATTACGGTGGGGGCATTGGATAAGGAAACCTTCGATAAGGAATCCAGGGTCTGGGAGCCAGTGGAACTCCAATCGAGGAGGCTTGGCCATGGATATCACCGCCGCCCTCATGCTGATAGGGAATCCTCCAGGGTCTGGCGCCTCCTGGGACTATTCCTTAACAAACGCCTCCACCGTCCGAGCGAAAGAGCGACGACGTCACAGATCACGCGGACGATCATGGCCCTGATGGAGTGGCAACAACAAGCGGCAACGGTGATCGCTGCGCGATGACAAGAACAATGATGACGACATCAACCACGGCAATGACGATGACGACTCTGATGGTGCTGTGCCATGACGCCAGTGGCGAGATTCGTGATGATGATGATGATGATGATGGTGATGATGATGCGTCTCCGCCCGGCTGTTCGGATCAAAAAACTGCGGGCCGTACGAGAAAGCGGGCAGAGATGGCAACGCAGAACAGCTGCATATCATAACCACACGCATCTTCTGTGGCATCTCATGGACGCCTCCCATACCATTTTGGTGGCTCTTGCGAATCGACGCTAATCGATACGAATCGGCACTACATAGACGCTAATCGACGCTAGTTGACGCTAATCCACGCGATTCTACGCTAGTTCAGCGCTAGCTCATCGACTACCAGACGCTGATCGACGCTAGTGCACTCTAAAGACGGAATTACGAGGATACACAAGGCCCCCATGATTTGCTACCGAGCGCATCATGTACAGCTTATTGCACGCTGAAGGGCAACGTACCAAGTACTAAAAGGCTACCCTAGCTCACGGCCGATTCCAACGGGACTGCACACCATGTCCCCTCGACATTCCCTTCCCATCGAAAAGATAACGACAAAGCTGTCATTCACCCGGGGGGTGTAGGACACTGAATTCCCATGAAAGCGAGCGCTTCAAATGTGGCCTCGTTTGAGGTCACATTGAAGGAAGCTCTACTCTCGCACACTGAAACAAAACACGAATTCGACCGATCAGAAGCGGCCCTTATCCACGGGGCTCCTATAATACTGTTCTGGCGGACTGTCGGATGGGAAAGTCCGAATCAGCAGGCCATAGGGCACAATGGTCTTGCGGCGCTTACTCACCCACTCGATCTCTGTCCACTTCACGTGCGGACACAAGTCTGTGTTGTTCCAGCGCGTCTTGAAATTCATTGTCTCTGCCTGGACATCGAATGTGCCAGGCTCTTGCCTGCACTGCAAAACAACCTGAAACATTCTGCCCTCAGTGGTGCGTGCTGGGTTCGCGTAGAAAGCTAACCCAGAATACCTAATCGTCGGCGACGTGTAGGTACACTTGTCCCGTCTCCCAGCACAATTGACGCTGTCTAGAGTGGTCCCATCAGGGAGTGTATCCCCTGGAAACAGAAGGTCCCCCTGACGGACCACGATTGGCGCTACCTTAGCACTCAGTCCGTGATAACTCACACACCACCTCTGCCAAACGTCGTTGACATGCGCCTGCGCTGGAACTTGCAACCCGAAGCGCACCCATCCGCGGGGTACCACGTACTCTCTCGGGCCGTCGTTCTTGATGACGTCCGGATAGTCTGAAGGATAGCATTCGGGGCAGTAGCAGCGGTCGTGAAGCCGACTCAACAGGCGACTGTCGAGCTTGAGCGACTTGAGGGAACGCTCGGCGGCGGAGTACACAGAGCAGGCGCTCAGCTTCTCGACATGGGCGTTTGCTTCAGCATCCGGCCCTTCTTCGGCTTTCCTTTCGAGTTCAGCCTTCTTACGCTCGACGAGCCTAAGCTGCTTGAGGAGGTCTTCTTTCTCTGCGCGCAGCTTCTCCCTGTCGCTGTCAATGCACCTGTAGAACTCCTGGATACGACGCTCGCAGTCTCCCTCAATCTGCTCGCGCTTGAGCTTCTCCTCCTGGGTGCAGGCCTCAAGTTCGCGTCGGCTCGCCTCGAACTCCTGCAGCAAGCTGCGCCTCTCCTGGTCGAACTTGCTCCGCTGCTCCTGCAGCACGGCTGCCACAGTGTCACGCTGCTCCTGGAGCCGCTCCAGCTCGGCCTGCTTGTCCGCGATAAGATCATCCAGCAGCCCGCACTTCACCTCCAGGCTGACCTCTTTACGTCGCCAGCGCTCCTTCTCTTCGTCTGTCCTCCGACTGAGTTCTTCGAGAGCTCTCTCCAGCTTCTGGCGCTCCTGGCGCTCCTTCTGATGCTCCTCGACCTCCTCTGACAGCAGCTTCTGGAGCTCCTCTGCGGACCTCTTCCCCTCCGGTGTGGCCACGTTTGGGGCTTGCCGCACCTCGCCAGGGGGAGCATGCGGGTCGAGCTTTTCCAATGTGTTGGCACTCCTGGCATCGCACTTGACCTGCGCTGTGTCTCCAGTCGGCACCGAATGTTTGTACTGCTTTGCGCGCCATCCTTTGCTCCGGAATTCTACCACATGCCTGCATAGTATCATTGGGAAGACCTTGTCGGGGACTCTCGGCAACCCGACGCAGCTCTCAAAGGTAACTGATCCAATATGATTCCTCTCGTGACCACGGCCCTGGCATCTCGCACAACCGACCTTGTAAGGACGCGTAGTCGAGCAATCGTTGGCCACGGTTTTGCTTTCATCTGCGAATGCGGTGTCTGGAACGCGTCTTGACCATATGGTTCCCACTTTGAGTTGGTGTATTTCCTGGTGCTTGACAAGATTCACTCCACATGAGGAGCAAACAAAGTCGATTCCAGTATGATCCAAACAAGGCATCGTGCCAGGTAGTCCGAGTTGTGAAGGTCCAACCTGAGACAGGACGATCTTTGGTCTGCGAGGACTGACTTGGGGCGTCCAGGCATAGAAGCGCGACCTACCTGCAGAGTGAGATCGAGGTCGCATCGATGTGGACTGCCGGCGCGGAGTACCTGGCTGTTGCACAGCCGCCAGCTCAGTATCCGCCGACCCCCTTCGGAGGTATCAAGGCGTGTGAGATTAGTCCCCCCCGATCGTCCCCCCCCACTTGGCCCACAGTCTGTCATTCCGGGGGGCAGGGGGAGGGGGGGACTGATGGGCCTGTTTTCCACCACCACCACCACCACCACCACCACCACCACCACCACCATAAGTTGGAGGGGGGACGAAGGTGGAGGACGAGGAGGAGGAGGAGGACGAAGATGAGGAGGAGGAAAAGGTGGAGGAGGAGGAGGAGGAGGAGGAGGAGGAGGAGGAGGAGGAGGAGGAGGAGGAGGGACGGGGAGGAGGAGGAGGTGGAACAGGAGGAGGAGGAGGAGGGAGGAGGAGGAGAAGGTGGAGGAGGAGGAGGGAGTAGGAGGAGGAGGAGGAGGAGGAGGAGGAGGAGGAGGAGGAAGAGGAGGGAGGAGGGAGGAGGAGAAGGTTGAGGAGGAGGAGGAGGAGGACCCCCTCCCCCTCAAACGTATGGTGGTGGTGGTGGAAAACGGGCCCATCAGGGACGCAGTACGAGCCTGAGCTCCCCCCGGGGGCCTTTGGAGGCTGCCCGGTCTCCCAGGCGGTGCCCAGCTCCAGAGAACGTCGCCCAGGGTCAACCTCTCCCGGGCGGTCCCTCGGGGCTGCGAGGCGACCCAGAGAACCACAAGATACAGTGGGGGCGCGCATCCAGAAGCCATGTGCTTTTCCTCAGGCTATCCTGGGTTTCTTCGCTCCGCCCGCTGCGCGGTGACTTCCCGTAGCCGTTGAAGAAACTGCTGCGTTCAGGGCGCTCCCGGATTCCCCTCAGGCGCACCTCGCGCGCGGGTTTTCAGGGTTGGGGTTCTTGCGAGGGTTTCTTGCGGCCGCGCCCTCACTGTAGCCCGAGACGGTCTGCCCAAGAGACCCCCAAGACGCCGCAAGAATCCTCCGAGAAGCTCCCCGCGAGGGCCTCCCGAGGCAAAACTGGTGGACTGGCTCGTGCTTGCTTTCAATGATGTTCACGTTCTCGCTTTTCTGACACTTGAACGCCCAGGACGGCCCAAGAAGCCCCCCAGACCGGCCCAAAGCGGCCCGATGCATCCTCAAGAAGATTCCAAGACGGCCCCAAAGAGCCCCAAGAAGGCGAAAAACGCCCCGTCGACGGCCCCATATGTCCCCAGGCTCTAAACCAGGCCACTGGAGACCTCAAGCGGCACACTAGGGGCCTCAAAGGGCTCCCAAGAGCCCTTCCCCCTTGAGGCCACCAAGAATCGCCGCAACAGACTCCAAGACAAGAGACCTCAACCCAGGCACCTCGTCTTCGGTGCCGTCCTCCTCCTCCCTTTTCGGCGGCGAGCCGGGGAGGGGGAGTGAGAAGGGGCCGGCCTTCTCAGAAGGCGCCGAAGTCCCCTGGCCTTCTGAGAAGATGTTGAAGCCTTCCCCGAAGACGCGGGGAACTTCTCAGAAGGCCGGAGGCCTTCTGCGAAGGCCCGCAGCCATCTGACAAGGCCTTCTCCTTCTCACTTTCCCCCCCCCCCTCGCTCGCTGCCGATCCTCTCTCCTCCCGTTCCCCCCCCCCCCCCCAAGGGGCGAGTCGGCTCGGTGGCCCCCAGGCAGACTTGAAAAGGGGGAGAGGGGACGCAGTCGGCCGAGAGCGCGCGCCCGTGGGGAACCCCCAAAAAAGCACCGGATTCCGCCGCTTCTCGGAGACCTCTCCCGGGGAGGGCGCCCTGACCCGGCGAGGACTCCGAGGCGAAGCTGGCGGCGGCGACGAGGGCAGCCCAGGAGGCCCTGAAAGTCGGGGAGGCGCAAACATGGATTGGCGATCCATGGATTTGGCGCGCGGTCGCCGAATCCATGGATCGGGGCAGGCGCCCTTCCCCAAAGGCGGCCGGTGCCGTCTCGTTCGGCGGGGGAATTCCGCGATTTCCCGTGGAAACGGGACCCGTTGCTAATGCACGCCCCCTTGATCCACGTCTGCGATCGCCTGAGAAAGGGGAAGATGGAGGAAAGGTAGCGGTATGAGTACCTCCACCTCCAAGCCTGCTACCCCTCGCGGAGCCCAGTCAGCCAGCGGGACTTGCAGCAGGCAGTTGGACACATATGACGAGCATCTCCTAGAACAAATGCATGTGAACGTACATGTCGCTGCCCTCCTTTACCCCACATCTGCCGACCCTTCCCCCACACCTGTAGTTCAATGGCGCTGTCCTCCAAAATGGCCCAACATGACCTCAAGATAGCCCCATGAGGGCCCAAAAGGTGCGAATAGATCCCCAAGAAAACCACGACGGGCCAAATCCGGCCCAAAATGGCGCCATGACGGCCCCAAAACGGCCCCCAGAGAACCCCAATGGGCCCCCAATATGCAAAACACATGCTTGCTCTTGCGGTTGTTGTATGATGGTGGCATACTTGATGGCATCTTCGGCCTCCCGAGCATCCAAGACGGCCCAAGAGGCTCCAAGACAGCCCGACAGGAGCTCAGGAGCTCCAAGAGACTCCAAGACAGCCCGACAGGGTCCCATCAGAGCTCCAAGAGCAAGCCAAGACGGCCCACGAGGGGCCCAAGACGGCCCCAGAGCGCTCCAAGAGGGCCCTCGGAGAGGCTCCAGACGGCCAACGAGGGCTCCACAGGGCCCCCATACAACCAAGACAGCCTCAAGAGACCCCTAAGACGGTCCAGGCGCGGACGGGACGCTTGTCTGGCCGTGTCCCCCGCGAAGCGGTTGGTATCATCCTTACTAGTCGCACTAGCACTAGTAGGACTTTCTTCAACCTCTAGCTTCTCGTCGCCCTGGGCTGCAAAACTGAACATGGAGTGAACCTGCTCGACGATGGCCTCGTCTGCAACATCCTTGCGCCTACCCATCACACATGCACGGAGATGCGAAGCTGCATCTCCACGTGGTTCCAACGTAGTTTTGAAAAACTGATGGGAGGCAAACGTCTTCGCCAAGCCATGCCTCAGACTGGGCGGCACCTGCGCCGCAAGGAAACACCCACACCCACAACTTCTGGAGCCTTGCCCAGTGGCATTCGGAGGCGATGGACGCGGATATCTTCCTGCCACCAGCGGCGGACCGACAACCAGCCCAGACCCCCAGCGTCGTGCTTTTCTCACAGCGTTGATCCCAAAGATCTGGACCACTTCCCCGGGACTGGCTCTTCATCCCGAGTCATTTTTTGACGGCCCCGAGGCCCGGGAAGGGCCCCCAGAGGCAGAGCAGGGCGCAAAACCTCCCGTCGTGATCCTTTCACAACGAGAGTCGGGTCGGGCGAAAGGGGGGGAAGCAAAGGGGGGGGTTGAGAATCAGCTCACGTAGCTGATTTTCCCGGCGCCTCCCGGCGCCGGAGGCGGCTATGTATCGAGGAATTGGCCCCTCGGTGGGGCCGAAACAAGCTGCATGCAGCAAATTTCGTAACCCCCCTTTCGCAATCCCCCCCTTTCGTCCAGCCCGAGAAAGGGGCCTGGGCGGGCCGACATCCATGTTCACGCGACCCCTCCGCCCCAGGAGGCGACCCCAGAGCGGCGCCCAGGCACCTGACGTCGTGCCTTTACTCACGTCGGGCGTGTCCCCCTACAGGGCGATTTCGGAGGAAAAATGAACTAAGAATAGTCGAAACATATTCCAAAATGCTGAACAAATGCTCCAAAAGGTCCCTCGACTATTTTTTTGAAGCTGTTTTTGGATATTCCTCCTGTAGAGGAACACGCCCGCCTTGAGCCTTTCTCGGCGGTGGGAAAACCTCCCTTTGGTAAACCTCCCCTTAGTGAAAGGGCCTGGGACCGAAACCGACGGACTCGGACCCGCAAAAATGACGGCCGCGACGCCCTCTCGCGAACCGAAAACGGCCAATTCCTTGATCGACGTGTCAGGGTAGGAGGTCTGTCCACCCCCGACTTTCCGCCACGTGGGCCCCTTCCCGCGGGGGGCCAGCCTCTCGTCACGGCCCCGGGGGCCCGGCAGGAGACCGCGCACGGCTCCAGAGCTCTCCGTTCCCCGGAGATCCGACGTGGCGACGCAAGAGAAGTCGCAGCATCCCCAAATGCTCCTCCTCCTCCTCCTCCTTCTCCTCCTCCTCCTCATCCTCCTCCTCCTCCTCCTCCTCCTCCTCCTCCTCCTCCTCCTCATCCTGAGACCCCCCCTCGCATGGTGAAAAAATCATGGCGAGAGAGGTGCTTCGTCAGTGTCGGCCTCCAGGGGCCGTAACACCGGGCCTCGGGGCCATCCCAGGACGACTCGAGAGGAAGGGCCGGTCGACGTTGTGGAACGATCGCGACGTCGGGGGTCTGGGTCGCGGAGCATCGCGACGGGAGCCCTACACCCTGCGAAATGCTTAAGACATCATGGGTTCAGATATTCATAGTCTCAGAATTTGAATAAAAACCTAAAACTTCTATTAAAATCATAAGATTCACATTGAAACGTTAAGAATAATCGAGACTCTAGCCGAAAACTTAAGTTTTCTCAAGCATCGCCTAGGGTGTAGACCCCACGCCATTTTTCGAGCCGCATCGATCCGGGATTGCACCACCCCTTTTTTCGCTGGGCCCCCTTGTGGTGACCACCTACCAGACCACCCCAAGCCAACCCGAAGACCCCAATGTCGGGTTGGTGGGGCACGGGTTCCATGATTAGTTGTGTTCCCACTGTTCCCCGATCCCCCCCACACCCGACATGGAGGGTAAATCGAAGCCTCGGGTTGGGTCGGGATGGTTTGGTTGGCGGTGATGTGGGCCAACCCGATTTTTCTCGAGACGGATCGGTCCGTGCTGTGATCCTCTGGCCCGACGACATCAGGCGACGACGCCTGGTGAGCACAATCTGCAGCGCCTGGAGATCAGGGCTTCCTGTTTTGCCACACAATGATGGGGGTCCTCCTCCTCCTCCTCCTCCACCACCTCCTCCTCATCATCATCCTCCTCCTCTTCCTCTCCTCCTCGTCCTCCCCCTTGGTGGTGGAAAACAGGTCCATCACACAACGCGAGGACGTCAACCCAGGCATGCGGTGTCCGGAGTTTTGCAGCGCGCGGCCCCCAAAGTCCCGACCCTCTTTCCCGATGCAGGGCTGGGTTTTCCATCCCGAGTCGGGTCCTCAGCGCCCCTCTAACGGTGACTCCACGAAAAGGCACTTGGGCCAGTGACCCGGCGAACCCAACCGTCACGGATGTGGGCAACGCGGCAATGCCAGAAAGAAACCCTAAAGTGACAACTTTCGGCAACTTTCCAAAGTACCCCTTATTGAGTAACAGGTACGGTGCCGCTGAACGTTTTTCAGCGCGCGGCCCCCGGAAGTCCCGACCCTTTCCCCAGGGCTGGATTTTCATCCTGAGTCGGTTTTTGCCGGTCCCAGGGCCTGGTAAGGGCCCCTTGAGACTGTACAGGGCCAAAAACCTCCGTCCCGATGTTTGCTACAGTCGGCCCGTATCATAGGGATGCGCGAGAAGGATGCAAGGCCCTTGGAGGGCCGTTTCGAAGCTCTTCGAGCTGGGCGCGGCCAGCGAAAACGGCCGAGGATGGGGCGATGAGGCAAGGATGCAGGGGTGCCCTTGGGAAGGTTGCTCATCCTTACTATGCGTTTCCAAAGATTTGTGATTTTTTAATGCGCGGTCCCCAGAAGTCTCGACCCATTCCCCAAAACCAGTTTTTCATCCTGAGTCGATTTTTGACGGTTCCGGGACCCGGCGAGGAACCCTAGAGGCCGAAAGTTGTCGAAAAAACAAAATTACCCCAGTGCGACCCTACCTAGAGGTTGGAGCCCCTAGAAACAGCATTAGTTGTTATGCTATGCTATGCTATGCTATGCTATGCCATGCTATGCTGCGCTGTGCTGTGCTGTGCTGTGCTATGATATGCTATGCTATACTATGCTATGCTGTGCTGTGCTGTGCTATGCTATGCTATGCTGCGCTATGCTATGCTACGCTATGCTATGCTATGATTTGCCTGGCGTTGCGTTGCTTGTGCGTTGCTTTGCTGTCGCTGATGTTGCTTTGCCTTTGCGATGCTGCTATGCTATGCTATGCTGCGCTATGCTATGCTATGCTGGGCTATGCTATGATATGCTGTGCTGCGCTATATTATGCTACGCTATGCTATGCTATGCTGTGCTCTGCTATGCTAAAGCTCAGCGAAGCTAAGCTGAAGGTAAGCTAAGCTAAGACTATGCTATGCTACAGCTCAGCCAAGCTGAAATGAAGGTAAGCTAAGCTAAGATAAAACTAAGGTAAGATGAAGCTGAGCTAAGGTAAGATGAAATGAGCTAAGCTAAGATGAGATAAGCAACGCGAAGCTAAGGGAACGTCACTGGGGGGACCGCGGGGCGGCTGCCGGGGGAACCGCCCGGGGCGAGCCCCACTGCCCGGCCCTTTAAGCTTAGCTATGCTATGCTAAGCTGCGCTATGCGATGCTATGCTTGGCTATGTTATGCTATGGTATGTTATGCTAATGCAGCGCTGCGCTATGCTAACTTAAATTAAGCTAAGCTAAACTGAGCTAACCCTCTAAGCAGAGCCTAGGTAGGGAATTACACCCATGCTACGATATGCGATGCTGCGCTATGCTATGCTACGCTGTGCTATACTATGCTGTGCTCTGCTATGCTAAAACTCAGCGAAGCTAAGAGTAAGGTAAGTTCAGCTAAGATAAAACTGAGGTAAGATGAAGCTGAGCTAAGGTAAGATGAAATGAGCTAAGCTAAGATGAGATAAGCAACGCGAAGCTAAGGGAACGTCACTGGGGGAACCGCGGGGCGGCTGCCGGGGGAACCGCCCGGGGCGAGCCCCACTGCCCGGCCCTTTAAGCTTAGCTATGCTATGCTAAGCTGCGCTATGCGATGCTATGCTTGGCTATGTTATGCTATGATATGTTATGCAAATGCAGCGCTGCGCTATGCTAACTTAAATTAAGCTAAGCTAAACTGAGCTAACCCTCTAAGCAGAGCCTAGGTAGGGAATTACACCCATGCTATGATATGCGATGCTGCGCTATGCTATGCTACGCTGTGCTATACTATGCTGTGCTCTGCTATGCTAAAACTCAGCGAAGCTAAGAGTAAGGTAAGTTCAGCTAAGATAAAACTGAGGTAAGATGAAGCTAAGCTAAGGTAAGATGAAATGAGCTAAGCTAAGATGAGATAAGCAACGCGAAGCTAAGGGAACGTCACTGGGGGAACCGCGGGGCGGATGCCGGGGGAACCGCCCGGGGCGCGTTCCACTGCCCGGCCCTTTAAGCCTCCGAATAAGAACCCTTCTAGGCAGAGCCTAGGTAGGGAAAAACTCCGTCTTGATTTCTTCCATGCGTTGGATCTCCGGGGGTGAGTGTACGCCACGAGCATGCCTGGGCTGCCACACCGCGGGGGAGGGCAGGGTGGCTGTGGGCATGCCCCGGCGGTGGGAGCACCCGCTGGCCGTGCGCCACGAGGCCGGCATACACGTCCTCGGCGAAGCGGTGCAGCTCGCGCCCGGTGGAGGTCGGGGAGCTCATGGGCTTGGTCGGCCGACAAGGGTACGGGAGAAAAGGGGCACGATGCCCAACAGCAAGCCCACAGATCCAACGCATTGAAAAAATCAAGACGGAGGTTTCTCCCAATCTTCGGCCTCTAGAGGCCCTCGCCGGGCCCCGGGACCGTCAAAAAACGACTCAGGACGAGAAACCCGTCCCGGGGAATGGGTCGATACTTCTGGGGACCGCGTCTCGCAAAAAAATCGCGACATCGGATCTCTGGGAGTGCTGCCCAGAACCGACAGCGGCCGCTGTGGGACAGGCGGCCCTGCTGGCTCGAATGGACAACAGCCGTGGCGGCGCGACCCCGGAGACCCGATGGCGCGACTCTTTCAATGCGCGATCCCCGAAGTCTCGACCCCTTCCCCAGGACTGGTTTGAAGGGAAACTGGGACACACAAATAAATACACACACATAAAAGGATTCCGCATATTTTCCCATATTTTCTGCGTTTTTGTCTTCCCCCCCACTTCCCATATTTTCCCATATTTTCTGGGGAATCGACGATTAATTGTGTCTGTGTGGTTTTTTCCCTCCTGATGGCTTCTCATCCTGAGCCGCTCTTTTTGACGCTCCCGGGTCCCGACGAAGGCCCCCTCCAGAGGCCGAAGACTGCGAAAAACCTTCGTGTTGATCTTCTCAATGCGCTGGATCTCTGGAATCGGGGATGGACAGACCCCCCTTTAGTAAAACGTGGTTTAGTGAAAACGATCTGAGGCCCAAACCTGGCGGGCGCAAGCCTCGAAAATAACGGCCACGGCGCCCTCTCGAGAACCGAAAACGGACAATTCACTAATCGACGTGTCACTGTTGGGGGTTCTGTCCACCCCCGATGGAGCAGCGGGTCCTGTTCAGAATGGACAGGAACTGCTGCTGGCCAGTGTACCGCACATGGTGCCCGTGCTTTCCGTACCCCTAGATGCTCATTCTGGGGACCCTTTCGAAGCCAACCGCTCCGCTCGTGCGTCGAAGCTGCGTCAAACATCCGCCGACCCGAGTCGAACCTGAGTCGAACCTGAGTCGAACCTGAGCCGAACCTGAGTCGAACTGGAGTCGAACAGGAGTCGAACCTGAGCCGAACTTGAGTCGAACTGGAGTCGAACAAGAGTCGAACTGGAGTCGAACAGATCCATTAGGTGTGCCCCAGGAAGGTCGCCTCAGGCTCCTGTCCACGGCGTTCCTTTTCCTGTGCAAGCTCCTCGGCACCGCCTGCACCCCGGCCCGCTCTCCGGCCGCCTGAGGCCCCGCCCGCCTGCGCCCCGTCTCCCCAATTAGAGCTGTGCGTAGCCCGCCTAGCTTTTATCGGAAGAGGTTCGCTCTCGCCCCGCAGACCAAAAAGTGTGACCCAGGAAGGTCCCCAAACGAGCCTCGAAGTACCCCTGCCGTGCGTGACGCACCTGAGTACGAGCCTCGAAGTACCCCTACCTCGAAGTCGAACCTGAGTCGAACCTGAGTCGAACCCGAGTCGAACTGGAGCCGAACTGGAGCCGAACCGGAGCCGAACAGATCCATCGGGTGTGCCCCAGGAAGGTCCCCCGAAACGAGCCTCGAAGTACTCCAGATTTCTTAATAAAAGGGAGGGGGTCTCAACCCTCCCAGACGAGAAGTTTTAGACCCCCCCCGTGGGAGAACCCTCCAAAACATCGTCCCCAGACCCCCCCAGGTCCTCCAAGATAGCCTGGAAGAGACCCCCCCCGAAATGAAACCCCCCTCCCTTTATTACGAAATCTGGAGTACCCCTGCCGTGCGTGGCGCCTGGAGGGGGGGGGCGCGCAGCGTGCCTGCCGCTGCCGCTGAGCCCGGGTCTGCCGGCCCCCCCCCCCGCGCGCGGCGGAGCGCTGCGGCTGGAGCAGAAGACGGCTCGGGCGGCCGCGCGGCGCTGCCCCCCTCTCGTCAGCCTCCTCCTCCTCCTCCTCCTCCTCCTCCTCCTTCTCGTTTTCCTCCTCCTCCGCCTCCTCCTCCTCCTCCTCCTCCCTGCTCATCATCATCATCATCATCATCATCATCATCATCATCATCATCATCATCATCATCATCATCATCATCATCATCATCATCATCATCATCATCATCATCATCATCATCATCATCATCATCATCATCATCAGCATCATCATCATCATCATCATCATCATCATCATCATCATCATCATCATCATCATCATCATCATCATCATCATCGTCAGCAGCAGCAGCAGCATCATCGTCATCATCATCATCATCATCATCATCATCATCATCATCATCATCATCATCATCATCATCATCATCATCATCATCATCATCGCCCTTCTCCTCCTCCCCCTCCTCCTCCTCCTCCTCCTCTTCCTCCCCCTCCTCCTGCTCGCTCTTCTCCTCTGGCCCCTGGCCAGGGGCGCCCCCACAGCTTTCCCCGCTGCAGCACTCCAGGCCTCGTGGAGGAGGAGGAGGAGGAGAAGGAGGAGGGGGAGGATGAGGAGAAGGAGGAGGGTGGCGTCCTTGCACTGGCTCCTTCTAGGCGTTGGGCCCCTCCCCTCGGCTGGCCTCCTGCCGCTTTCTTTTCGGCTCGCGCTCTTCAGGAGCTGCGGTTCGCCCCCCCTCGCGCTCTTCAGGAGCTGCGGTTCGCCCCCCCTCCCCTCCCCGCCCCAACCTCCGCCGCCCCCGACCGGCCAGCCGCTGCGCGGCGGCCCGCGTAGGCAAAAAAGGAGGAGGAGGAGCAGAAGGATGAGGAGGAGGAGCAGATCCCCCAGCCCCGCCTGCGCTGCCCCTTCTGCCCCCCCCATCTCCGGGAGGCCTCCAGGACAGCCTGTAGGGGGGACGCAGGAGGACATACTGGTAGGCATTAAGGTATTAGGTCGGGCATGTCCTCCTACAGGCGTATCTCGGGAGAAACATTTAACTAGTAAACCAGATGCAACAATATGCCAAATAGCACAAAACATCGTCCGCAGGGTATTCTTGACCATTCTTCCGCATTTCTCCTGTAGAGGGACATGTCCGACCTTCTTCTGGCATTACGCGTCCTCATTGGAGGAGTGCGTCCGACCCGAACAGATTGTACGGCAACGCGGTATACACCGTTTCCCGAGCGGCATGGCCAGAAGGCGCCCGCGACGGGGCCAATACTGTAAGATTCCTTGGTGCGCGCGTCGCCATCCTGGGGGCGACGCAGGGCGGCGCCGACTCCAGGACAGCCTGGATGAGCTCGTGGCCAGCCTGCGGCTCCCCGCGGAGACCGCGTCTGGGCTCCTGGGCTCCTGGGCTTCAAGGCCCACAAGCGGGGGGGGGGGGGGAACAGCCAGGGAAAAAATCACGTCAGGTCTCAGGAGCGCGTTTCTTTATTGTCGGCGATACTGGGCATTATAGCAGGGGGGGCCAGGGAGGGGTATAATGTAACGCCTCCCCCCCCC